TAGGCATATCAGTAAAATCAACAATGACATAATCCATTGGAAAATAAGCGATTGGTTGCCAACCAGGTGGCACTACCGGTCCTTGGCATGCATTGGTTTGGGCACAAATGGAACATTGAGAACATACTTGGGCCATTAGCAAAGAAGCAAAGGGAAGATAGAAAAATCATTCAAGCTGCAGTTTTTCCCAAATGATGTTGCTTACGAGCCTGAAAAATAAGGGGGCGGGCAAGCACAAGAGGAACAGCAATGCGTCCATTGGGAAGGGTGTACCAGCCTTTAATCAGTTCGGCTTGTACATCCTGCTTCAACTTTTGGCTTTCCTCTTTCGTATATGTAGGATCAAGTGTCTAAATACATGAACCTGGTGACATCCGATTGGAGAGGGGGCGTTCTAACACAGCTCTTTTGGCTTCTTTGTCTGCCTTCCTATTGCCCTTGGTAATAAGGCTTGAGTCTTTTTGATGTCCAGGACAATGGATGATTGCAACTTTAGACAGTAGGTGGGCTGCTTTAATAAGTCTTTTAATCAAAGTTGCATATTGGATGACCTTGCCAGTGGAGTCCAAATATCCTCTTTCTTTGTAGATTGCGGCATATGCATGAATTGTCAAAAATGCATACTTACTGTCCGTATATACATTTAAAATCATTCCTGCAGCTATTTCTAATGCTCGGATTAGGGTATATAATTCTGCAAATTGTGCACTTGCTTGGCTAGGTAATTGTGCTGATTCTACAGTTGCAGTTTGAGAAACAATTGCGTAACCAGAGTATCTAATTCCCTGATCCATAAAGCTGGATTCATCGGTAAACCACTGAAAGTCTGGATTATGCAATGGTTAGTCCCTAAGGTCAGGTCTGCAAGAATATTGTAGTTCTATTGTTTGCATGCAGTTATGCACAGGCATAGTTGAATCTGGTATTGGCATAAGAGTGGCCGGATTGAGAGTAGAGCTCTGTTGCAGTGTAACTTGTGGATTTTCTAAAAAAAGGGCCTGTATCTTATGCATCCTTTGATTGCTAATCCATAAATGTTCCTTATTGTCAATAATCGTCTGCAAGGCATGACTAGTACAAACAGCCACCAGAGCAGAAAAAGTTAACTTACTTGCCTCCTGTAGTAACAGCATAACTGCTGCTAGAATTTTTAAACATTGTGGCCAACCTTGCGTGGCCATATCCAATTGTTTTGACAGATAAGCGACTGGGCGATTCCAATTTCCCTGCTTTTGGGTAAGGACTCCTAAAGCCACATTCTGTCTCACATCGACATAAAGTGAAAATGACCTAGATATATCACGTAGCCCTAGAGCCGGTGCTGTAGTAAGAGCCTGTTGAAGGTGTTTCATTGCTTGGGTCTGTTCTTGTTGCCACAAAAGAGATTCCTTTTCTGGTCCCCTTAAAACTTGATACAATGGTTTAGCTGTGAGAGTGAAGTTAGGAATCCAAATTCTACAGAAGCATGTAATTCCCAAAAAGGCTCTAACTTCCTGTTTTGTTTGGGGGATGGGAATCTGTAACACAGTTTGCTTTCTCTTGGGGCCCAGAGTTCTTTGTCCTTGTGATAGCTCATAGCCTAAATATATTACGGTCATTTGAACTAATTGTGCTTTCCTTTTGGACACTCTGTAGCCACAGTCTTGTAACATTCGGAGCAGTCTGGATGTGTTTTCAAAGCAATCCTCCCTGTTTGTCCAGTTATCAGAACATCATCCACATATTGAAGGCAACAGTCCTCTTGTCTGACTAACTTCAAATATGCAAGATCTTAGACTAAAGCTTGACCAAAACACGTAGGTGAATTCTTAAAGCCTTGTGGTAGTCTAGTCCAGGTATATTGAGTCTTAACTTGTGTCTTTGGATTAGCCCATTCAAATGCAAAGATCGGCTGACAATTCTCAGCCAAAGGTATGGTGAAAAATGCATCCTTTAAGTCCACAACTGAAAACCATTTAGTGGATGCAGGTATTGTACTTAAAAGAATATATGGATTAGGAACAGTTGCGTGTAGGGTTAATGTCAATTTATTAACGGGGCGGAGATCCTGCACTAGTCTCCACTGTCCATCAGGCTTACAAACAGGTAGAATTGCAGTATTCCAGAGTGACTGAATTTTTCTAATGATTTTTGCTATCAAGTATTTTTGGATTAATTCTTGAATGGCAGTAGCAGCCTCTGGAGTACAATATCATTGAGGCACTCTAAGAGGATATTCTTGTAGTTTTAGTTCCACCATAACGGGCGTGGCATATTTCACAAATCCAGGGGGTTATCCTCTGCCCACAGGAGTGGAACATTAAATTGTAACCACTTAGTACCTTCTACTTCTTCTGTCACTATCATCAAGCACCATATTTCTTCCCCTGGGTGGTGCACTTGAATTAATTGCTTCCCATTGTCAAAGGAAATGGTTGCTTTTAACTTATTTAGCAAGTCTCTTCCCAATAATGGGACTGGACAGACTGGGACATATAAAAATTGATGTTTAATGATTCCTTTTCCACTTGGCATGTTAGGGGTTCCAGGAGTGGTCAAAATTGAGTTTCTCCAATACTCCCTGAATTTGGATGGTCTGGTTTGATGGTTTGCCAATAGATTTATTTAGGACCGACCTGGTGGCTCCCGTGTCAACTAACATTGGGACGATCTGTCTCCCACCCGTATTTTAACAATGGGCTCCGGGGGTGGGACCATAGAACCCTGTCCTCTTCAATCTCCCCATTCCATGTCAGCTAAGCCGATCATGTTTTCTTCTTTTTCTTCTGTCTGACTGGGATAGGCTGGATGCCCTCTTCTCCTGAAGCTTCCCTTACAACTTCTCTGGAAAGTCCCTCTAAATCCTCTTCCTTGTCCTCTTCCATATTGGTGAGATTGTCCCCTAGGTTGGCCATTCCTCTGGGGGCAGTCCCTTTGCCAGTGTCCTTCCCGTTTACAGATGGCACAGATGGTTGGGTCCAATACACATTCCCCCCAAGGCCACTGCTAACATTTCAACCTTCTTTTTCTCTTTCTGATCTGACTTATGTTCTTCTTCCTTTTCACGGTTATGGAACACTGAGCTATCTCCATGATCTCTGCTATATTCTTCCCTAATGCCCCTTCTGTGCGTTGTAACTTTTTCTTTATGTCTGGGGCACTTTGGGTGATAAATCTTTCAATTAGGAGTGGGCAATTTTGTGTCACCTCCATATCAAGACCTGTGTTTACTTTATAAGCTTCTATCAGTCAGCTGAGAAAAGTGGTTGGTGACTCATTTTTATCTTGCCAAATACTAGTTACTGCAGCATAATTAACTGGACGAATTGCGACTTCTCTCAGGGCTTCTAAACACAAAAGCTGATAATTCTGCAACAAAGTTTGGTGTTGTACATCATTAGCATTCCAGTCTGGTCTTTCTTCTACTGCTTCGGTATTTCTGCTTGCCTGATAATTCGCTCCCCCATCGGGGTGTCGGCGGGCAAGTACTTTTAATTTTCCTAACCTATATTTTTCTCTCCCCTCCATATCCAGTAAAGTAGAAATAAGTTGTTGCATATCATCCCATGTGGGGTTATGCGTCTGAATAGGTCTATTATTTCTTGAGGTTTTTCTGAAAATGGTCCATATTGCCGACGCCTATTGAGTAGATCAGTGGTTGTAAAGGGAACATACTGGAGCATCGGAATATTGGTGTTGTTTGGTCCAGGGACCAAAACTTCTCTTAGAGGGGCTATCATTTCTTCTGTTTTTACCCTCATTTTACTTCTAGTTTGACTAGAAACTGATGTTTTGATACCATCGCTACCCAAGTCCTGATCTTTCTTCTGAATGGTTTTATCTTTTTTTATCTTTCTTTTCACACCGGCTTCTGGTTGAAGGTGGACTTCATTTCTTTCAACTGGAGGGGGTGGAATTTGCTGATATATCCCCCCTTCTTCTCTTCTAGGAACATAGGGCGGGGGCCTGGCAACTTCCTCCCTTTCTTCCTGGCTCAAAATCTTAGCTTTTGTCTGAGGTTTGGCTTTTTGGTTTGCCAAATATATTTTAGCACATTCTATCTGACACTTTGCTAACCATCAAGGCTTTTCTTTAATATTGATTTGCCATTGGTCTATATAGGGATATTGGTCCCAATGACCACTTCCAGTCACAATTTAATGAACCCGTGCCACAAGTTCGGGATTCGCCAATCCCTCTTTGGGCCACCCTACGCCAAAGGTGGTCCATTCAGATTCACAGAATCTTTTTAACATGGCTGGATTTGGTCGTGGGTCCCCATAATCCCTAGAAAAACCCTTTTTGAAATTTCCTAACATACACTGAAGCGGTGTCTAACCAACGCCCTTCTTAGTCTGGTTTCCTCCCATTTCTCCCTAACACACTACCACCGACCTGGAGTGCCAGACGTTCCAATAGTCACTCTTCAGGAAATGCAATGGTTTAACCACCCACACAATCCTACCTATTGAAGACCTAAGGACGCTGCCTTGTCTTCTAGGGGGTGATCAATCCCCTCTTCCGATCCAAACGGGATCAGGTATCCCCTTTTACAATACTTGCCTGCAGGCGTTCCAGACCCTTCCACGGATTAAAGACCCATCTGCTACCCTCGGTGGATCCTTGACTGGAGTGCTTCGCTGGTGGGTGAATTCCCCTCCCGTCCCGTTGAGGTCTCCCCATAGACAAAGGCCACAGAGCTGGCTTGGAGGAGTCATCGTTAGGAGAGGGGCTACCCACCATGGCAGTCCATCTGGAAGGTCAATGGCCTCTTCCTAAGAGTCCTGGCGGAGTCGCCAGAATTCTTGTGGAAAACGGAAGGAGTCTTACAAATTCCAGAGGGTTTTAGCAGAGAGATTTATTGTGCAGGTTCAGAAGCAGTAGCAACCAGCAATTCTGAACCCCGAGGGTGGGTTCAGACTTCAGTTTTATACTTTCTTTTTCTCAAGAACAAAGGAATACACATTGTGATACACATTGTAATACATTAGGTTCGTTTCTCACGGGTATACAATGGAGAGAGTTTACTACATAAATAATATCCAAGTGCAATGCGCATTAGGTTAGTCACATACTACTAACACAGCATTATTCTAGTAATTATGCAGACACATCATTATTCTAGTGATTGTTTATTAATCCACATTAATCTAGTTGCTAATCAGATATTCTTTTAAAATATATAGAAAATATTTAGTTTTAGACAGCTTAGATACATCAAGACATTTCATTTTATGCCTCTACTTTGATGCTTGAGATTATTAGCTTTCAAAATGTGATTCAGGGAACTCTGGAGTTCCTCTGAGGCCTGTCAGAGATTCTTCAAAAGGAAGATCAGTTCAATCACACAGGTTTCATCCAAAGATTGTTTCAGTACTGCTACAAGTGTTTTCCTCAAAATGCTGCAATATGACAGTGGTGGGTATGTAGAAATTTAAAGCCCAAGAAAGCCTAGAAAAAAAATCACTTGACATGAATGAATGTGGAACTTTGAAATATATCCCCCGATAGATTTATAGTATTCAAGGCTTAGCAGCAGAAGCACAGCAGATCTTTAACAATGAAATAGGAACCATCAGTTCAGTGGGCCTCCACATTAGGAGCCAAGTTGGTATGGGGAGCTTCATCCTATCTCAAATTAAAGATGGAACATTTCTGAAATTAGTTGGTTTCTGAATCCACAGCTAATCAACCTGGCTTGGTTTTTGCTTAAACCTGAAAACTGGTATCCTAGATCTATGCAATCAACCGATAGAAATCCTACATTATTTTAAAATCTGTGTATTTTCCCTCTCAGTTTGCCCTTTTTATTGCAATAAATTTCTTTTCTGGAATACACAAATATGAGGTGCAAATTTTCAATAATATCAGGATTTTTTTAAAAAAAAATAGTGTAGGGATCTTGTTTCTTCTTAAACCTTTGCTTTGCCCATTTGTTTATGTTGCTTCTGCTTTGACGATACAAAGTCTGTAAAAGAAAGAGATTAAAATAAAAAGTAGAATTCCTTTTTTTTTTTTTTTTTTTTTTATTTAAATTTTTCAAAAGTTTTACAAATAAAAATCCACCCCCCCCTCCCCAACCACCCCACCCCCCCCCGACTTCCCAGAACTGAATATAGGATTATTTAACAAATATTTTAAAAATAACATTTGCAATTTATAAAATAATTAATAATAATAATAAAAATCACAGTAATAATATATATAGAAATAATATACATAACATAAACTTTAAAATGAATAATATATACTAAAAAAGAAAAAAAATAAAAAATAAAAAGAGAAGAGAGAGAGAGAAAGAAGAAAGAAGAAAGTAGACGAAAAATAAAGCATATATATATATAAAAAAAAAAATATATGAATAATAATACATTAAAAATGTATATATATAAAAAAGAAAAAGAAGAAAGAAAGAAAGAAAAAACAATCATTACAAATTATAAAAAGGCTAAATAATATTTTTCCATATCCAAATTATGTTGTATAAAATTTATCCATTTTTCCCATACCGCAAAAAATTTTTCTTGAGATTGCTCCTTTAAGAAAGCCGAAATCTTTGCCATTTCTGCCAAATACGAAACTTTATGAAACCATTCTTGTAAAGTAGGCAAAGATTCCTTCTTCCAATATTGTCCTATTAACAACCTAGCGGCTGTAATCAAATTTAACATCAATATAACCTCCTTAGCATCACAGTCAATAACAATACCTAGTAAAAATAATTGCGGAGTAAATTTTACCCTTCTTTTAAAAATTCTTTGAATATTCCACCATAAAAAAGTAGAATTCCTTTTGAAGGGACATTTGATGAGGGACACTGCTGATTGCTGAGTTAAAATGGTTTTTAAATGCCAGTGTACATAGGCTCCTCCTCTTTATGCATGTCCCATATATGTCATAAGTCCAAAATGAATAATCCATGTATAAATTCAGTGGTGTTCTAGTCTTGGATGCTTCCAGTATGAACTGCATAGACAAGGAGATTAAGCTGTGGTTACTCTTTACAATTCCTATCCATCATGACAGAAACATGCACTGTATTGTAGAACCCCAGCTGAAGTGCACTGACACCAATTCTGTCATCCTTTCAGCATTAGATAAAAGCTTTCTTATTTTTTAATGTGATAGTTTTATATGGTTAACCTCTACTGATGCATTATTTGATGAGCCATCTATCAATGCAGAGTTAAGTTGCTTTTCATGTAACCTTTAATTTTGTTATGAAGCTCTGGATAATTTTCTATAGCTCTAAATATCAAAGGTAAATGCATGTTCCAGGATCAGTGGAATGAAACAGCAAATGACATAATTTACAGTATCTGCTATTAACTACTACTACTACAGACAATGTATTTTCCCCTGGTGATCACTTTATGAGTCTTTGCTTTTTATCCTGTCAGTACAGTCTCTAACCCAGGGCTTTTCAACCAGTGGTACATTGACACTTGGCAGGTGGTACACGACCATCCTAGAAAAGTGGTAACAGGAGAAGGGAATGAGCTGAACTGATGGCAGCACAGCACAAGCCTGAGAGAGAGATGGCTGGAGCTGCAGGGCTGTCAGGGCTCAGCGGAAGTGCCAGGATCAGCGTTTCTTCGGGACTGTCAGGGCTCAGCAGAAGCGCCAGGATCAGTGCCGCTTTCCAGCTGATTGATGCTTCTTTGGGGCTGTCAGGGCTCAGTGGAAGTGCCAGGATCAGCACCAGGCTCCAGCTGGAGCTCAGCGATGATCCCGGTGCTTCTGCTGAGCCCTGAAGAAGCACCAATCAGCTGGAAAGCAGCGCTGATCCAGGCACTTCTGCTGAGCCCAGAAGAAGCGCTGATCAGCTGGAATGTTGCAGCATCTCCAGGGTCCTGTGATTTACATTCAGATGCTTGGCAATTGATTCATATTTATATAACAAGTTTTATTAACGTTCCATTTTTACAAACCTTCAGGTATTTAAGGAAGCAACATGGTGGTTGGGTAATACATAATCTAACAACATGCTTATCCATACATATATCAGTTTACGTCATCAAAATTTTCTTGTTTCCCTTAATCATTATAACAAATTCAAATTGGTAGATTGCTAGTTATAATTCAATCATTTAAAACATTTATAAACAGCTTTTAAATTGTATATCTCCAAATCCTGTTTTTAACTTTTGTCTAGTTTCAATTAGAGTATTTAAGCTGGCTTATGTCCAATAATATTTTTTAATTTTATTGAATAAAAAAGGAATTAAAAACATTGAACATGGTAAATCAACATTTGACAGACATCTCAGTCCATATTTACATTAATTACAAATAAATCTCTTTACCGTAACATCATTCTAATCTCAATCTTAACTTATCTCATTACAATGACCTCCATTTTTTCCCACCATCTATAAAATTTATTCCATATTTGATAAAAGTATGTTTCATCCTGATTTTTTAATCTTTTAGTTATCCTGTCTAATTCTGTGCAATATATAATTTTCTGAATTAATGTTTCCTCACTCGGTATAGCTGTAGCTTTCCATTTTTGAGCAAATAATATCCTTGCTGCTGTAACCACATGAATGAATAAATATGTGTCATCTTTACTTACATTTTTTTCAAGTATTTCTAACAGCAATGTCTCAGGTTTGTACTGAATGTTTTGCATAGTCTATCGCCCATTCCCAGACCATACGCCAATACACCTGTGCTTTTCTACATGTCCACCGAACATGAAAAAAGTGCCCCTTTCTTTTTTACATTTCCAACACATAGATGAATATCCGTTATACATTTTGGCTAATCTGGCTGGAGGGAGATGCCATCTGTAAACCATCTTACACAAATTCTCTTTATATGTTGACGCCAATGTGATTTTATTGTTTCGCATCCATACCTGCTGCCATTGATCCAAATTAATATTATGTCCTAGGTCTATCGCCCATGTCACCATTGTTTCTTTGACCTGTTCTTCGAATAGTCTATATTTCAATAAGTGTTTATAAATATTCTTTTTTTTTTCTCCGGGTCTAGCAATATTTTGTCTAGCCCCATATCTTATCTATTAATTCTTGCTTATCTTTCATGTATCTTGCTTGAATCTGGAGGTAAGACCACCACTCTATGTCTCTTCCTTGTTGCCTTAACTCTTGTTTTGATTTTAAATAACTCTCTTCTGTCAGAATGTCTTTATAAGTAATAACCTTGTCTTTCCTAAACAGATTGGGGTATGTAACTGCCTCCAGTGGCGATAACCAGGCTGGAATCTTTGTATAATATTGACGTTTAACTGTATTCCAGCTTTTTATTAATCCTTGCCGAACCTTGTGTCTTAAGAAGTATTGGTGATTTCACTTTGCCCCATCCCCATGTGAGCATGCCATCCCTGCTGAAAATCATAACCCTCTAACTGTAAACATCTTTGATTTTCTAAGGTTATCCAATCGCTAATCCATGTCAGGGGCGCGGCTAGGTAATATAATTCCCAATCAGGGAAACCTAAACCACCCCTTTCTTTGGCATCTTGTAGAGCCTTTAATTTTATTCTAGCCTTCTTACCAGACCACACAAATTCTAAGATTATTTTATTTAACTCCTTGAAAAATTTCTTATCTAATTGAATTGGGATATTCTGAAACAAAAATATCATTTTGGGTAGGATGTTCATTTTTACTGCTGCAATTCTCCCAAGTAATGAGAGGTGTAAGTTTTTCCAGCGTTCTAGGTCTACTTTAATATTCTGTACTAATTTACCATAGTTGTCTTTTTTAATTGATGAGCAGCGTGCTGAAATAACTATCCCTAGGTATTTAAATTTGGAAACTACTGGTATGCCTAATTTTGCCTTGAGGGATCCTTTTTGTATGTTAGTCATATTTTTTGTAATGATCTTTGTTTTATTTTTGTTTATTTTTAAGCCTGCATGATCCCTGTACTCTTCCAGAATTTTGAATAGTTTCTGCCCTGAATGTTCTGGGTCTTCTAAAATAAATGCTAGGTCATCTGCATAAGCCTGAAATTTATATGTTTCTTTCTTGATCTTAAATCCTTTAATCTGCTCCTCTTGCCTTACTGCTCTAGCGAGGATTTCTAAAGTGTATATAAACAGCAATGGTGAAAGAGGGCATCCCTGTCTTGTGCCTTTCTGTATGTTAAATCTATCAGTGGCCTCTCCATTTACTATAATCTGCGTGCTTTGTTTAGAATATATTGTGGCTATTACATTTAAAAAATTTTCCCCGGCTTCCATTAATTTTAATTGTTGGATCATAAATTGCCAATTGACATTGTCAAAAGCCTTCTGTGCATCGAGAAACAGAAGTACCACTTGCCGATCACTATGCAATTCGTAAAATTCGAGGATGTCTAGAATTGTTCTTATATTCCGTTTAGTCTGCCTGTTTGGTAAGAACCCATTTTGGTCTGGGCGTATAAAATCAATTAGGTACTTTTTGAATCTCTCCGCCATTATTGAGGTGAAAATTTTGTAATCCGAATTCAATAGTGATATAGGTCTATAATTTTGTATCCGTGTTTTTTCTGCGTCTGCTTTTGGAATCAATATTATATTTGCCTCTGACCAAGACTTGGGTATTTTAGCTTCGATTAGTACTGCATTAAAGACCTTTAATAAGTATTGATTAAATACACTTTGTTGCTCTTTATATAATTCAACAGGTATTCCATCTGGGCCTGTCGCCTTATTAATTTTTTGTTTATTTATAGCCCTAATCAATAATATTTAGATTTTGAATAGCCCACAGTTCCCTTAATTCATACAAAATAGTATCATCTTTAAGATACACTTATTATTTATTCCAATAAATTCTTAATTTATTTCACCATCATATTCTAATTCTCATTTTAATATCATCGCTTACTCATAAAATAACCTTTATCCTCTGAATCTATCTTCTATTTATAGTTCAAAACAATTATTTAAATAACTAATTTATTTCCCTTATAGGTATAAGTCTAACTATTAAATCCAATAATATCTTTTAAAATCTCCTTAGCTCATTAGATAAAGTTTAAAACTCTTTTATTAAATATCAAACAAAGAAAACCATTTTTTAAAAAATCTAACTCTGGCCTTCCTTTTATGCCAAACTGGCTTCCATAAAAAAGCTTTTTGGGCCTCAAATGGCTCTCCCTTCCTCCCTTCATATCATTTGAAACAGGTGAGACCATCCAGTCATCAGCCTATCAAGGAAGCCAGTCCCTTCACAGTCATTAAATTGTTGACCCAATGGTTTAAGTCTCCATATATGAATTGATGTGTTTATCATGTGTTCTGATTGGTCTTCTTCTAGTTTCAACTGAAGTAAATGAAAGTTCATATTTGATGTTGTAGTTGTTTTTGGATCATCTAGACTATCTGAAATCTCAGTGTATTGTCATAAATCCTCTGGAAGTTCCATCGTAGCATTGCTTTGATCAGTTTCTGCTACTGTTGTAGTTGTCCAGTCTTTAAGTAAAGTCGAACTCTGAATATTAAAACTCTGGGTAGATTGTTTCTGACATTCTTCCATTTTATTATTAGTTCCTTCTTCTATTGCTTTTTGAAGTGTGGGTTTCTCTAATGGGGTTTGTAGCTTTAAAGTGGCATGTAAGTCTTTCATTGTAGACTTCATTAGTTCAGTAGCCTCTAGAATTTTTTCAAGTATAGGTTTGACATTAAGCTGTGGGTGATATTCCTCCATTTCTGTAATGTAAACAGTCTAATGTAGAGGCTATTTTTAATAAAAGTTAATATCTCTCCACCTCCACTATAAAGCACTATTTTCACCACACAGCTGTTTCAAGTTCTTATCTTTGTTGCTGTCAAGGACAAATTTTGTTCTCAGAAATCTCCCAATGAGAAAAATTTTATTCCACTTGTTGTAGCAGGTTTTCACCACTAGATGTCCCCAGGAACATACAAAATAGGGCTTTTTTCTGGTTCAAAAGAAGAAACAAAGAACGTTCTGTTCCCCCCCCCCCCCGGTTAACAAAGAAAT